CCAACTACGCAGAACAGAAGTAGAGTCATGATGGACTTGAGAAATAGAACGATCATCAACGATGTCAAATTAAAAATCCAAACTGGTTGAAATTATGTTGATAATATCGATCGTTATTTTTGTAAGGTTTGCGAATCTTAACGAGATCATCTAATTCGCGAACAAGAACGAGGATTCGATGATTAACCACCAGTAAGCTAACTATTGACGCTTCCTAGCCCCGCTATCTAGAGAGAGAACATCAAGCTTGGAATGAAGTATATTCTGCAACAACCAGAAACGAGCAACCATTTTTAACAAGACTATTCTAAAACGTATATATATACAAATATATATATATATATATATGTCGATAGGTTCGTCGATTGACTTCCATTGAAATATTTGAAGATTTAATCGATAAATGCGTCAATCAATTATGTGCGTGGGTGGTAAGAAATGCCAACGTACACATCTGCATACAAGCTTCACAAGATAAAACTATAAACTATGAGTTTTTGGGGATCTATCGTCCTCAACACTCCTCCCCCCGTTTTTATTAGCGCACTTTTCTAGGATCGACTCGCATCCTGACCGTTGGTCGCCGCAGTCGGGTAGGCCACCTTCTGGAACGTGTTTTAGCTTGTGGTTGACGATTTTCTTGTTGTGGGTTTGCCGGTAAGTTGAAGGTGTCTATCAGGATATCCAGAGGAATGTTTGCTTCGGTTAACGAGCGGTCTGCGGCTATCTGTTTGCGTAACTGATTCCGATGGCGTTGCCTCGTGTCTCGGCCTACCTCAACTTCTTACATGACTCGGTCAACTCTCCTGACCACTCGCGCTTCCGTCCAAGGGTCATGGGTTGGTCTGTAGTCACGGGCAAACACGGGACATCCCACTTCGTACGTGGATTGCTTTTCAAAATTTTCCGTTCTGGTGTCGGTGCATTACTTGGATGCATCAGGCTGTGGATCGTCTTCAGTCTTCTTCCAATGCGGATCTCTGCTTGGGTCTTTCGCTCCGGCAACGTCTCATTTGGTGTTGTTCGGTACACGTGGAAGAAATTTTTCAACGCGTCCACTGTCGTCCCTTCCCCTTTTTTTGTATTAATCAAAGCTCTTTTAAACGTATCTTCAAACCTTTCTGCTTGCCCATTCGACTGCGGGTGATATCGGGGCGACTATAAGTGCTTCATGGCTAGCCGTTGACAAAATGACTGGAACTGGCTGGAGGTGAACTAAGAACCGTTGACAGATACAATGACATCCGGTATACCATTTCGGGAGAAAATTTCTGGGAGGATTTGTATTGTTTTAGTCGTCGTTGGCGGTATTATAGGGTTGATTTCTGGCCATTTTGAAAGGGCATTGACTACAAATAGATACATGGTTGCGTTAATCGAGCCTGCAAAGCCGACGTGTATCCTGGACCAAAGATGATCACGTTGTGGCCATGAAACTGATGGAACTATGGCGTTCACTTTTGCCGCTTGCTGACATCGCATACATTTTTCAACCAATTCTGTTATGTGTTGATCCATTAGCGGCCAATATGCATGACTCCTGGCTATTGATTTCATTCGTCTAACCCCCGGATGACCAAGGTGGAACTGTTTCAGCACTTTTGCACGAAGGGATTCTGGCACAACCACTCTTTCTTCGAACATCAAGCAGTCGTTTACAATGCTTAGCGAATCCCGCCGATACAGCTGTTTTATGTCACCATCAAACTTCGTAGACGGTCAACCGTTTGTGACATAGCTCATAGTCATCTTGTTGATGAGGTCGCTCATAGAAGCATTTTGTATGTCGGTTGCAGATATCGGCAAAGCTCGTATTACGGTCGTCAGATAACATTCGGCGTGGTCTTCCAAATCATGTGTTTGTTGTCGTAGTTAGGGTTGTGATACCAGGTTCCATATGGTATTCAACGGATCATCAGCTAAATTTAACTGACCGAACCAATCTAACCCGAGTAAATTTAGATCAGCTGTTGTTATGTAACATACCCCAACAAACGCCGAATCACGGAAAGTAACTGTACATTCCATTTGTCCTAGCAAGTGAAGGTAATTACCAAACGCAGTACGAGGCTTTTGCATTGTACGCTGCAGGTTTGGGCTGCCCGTTTAAGTTCAAATCTTACGTGACATCTGATGCAGTATCTATCTGTAATGTAGATGAGTGCCCATTAATATTAACAGTTATAAATTTTCTCTCACCTGGTTATGAGCTTTGACATGAAGATACTAAGCTCAATGAATTAATGCGGGATCTAGGAAGGGTTCTTTTGTTATTTCTGGATTGACTTGGATTCTTCTTCCTTAGACAAAACCCTTCCTTATGACCGATAACCTTACACTGCTTGCATCAATGTTGCTTAAATGAGCAGTTTCGAAAGTAGTGCCAGCAAGGACCGGGGGGATTTACTTTGATCTGTCATCCCGAGCTGGAGTGGGATGAACTGGATGGAGCACGGATGCATTTGTTTTTGTAAGTTGTCTGTTGCACAGCTCGTACTTCATATAGACTAGACTCACCACTCTGGACCATAGAAGTGTCTCGTTGCAGATTGATGAGACGATGGTATTCATCAGCTATATCACTCAGGGTGAGTTTCGGCTCTTGATCAAACCGACTTAGTAGCCTTGTCCGTAAGTCACTGAGCTTTTGATGCTGTAGGCTGCAAAGGAGGATCAGGGCTTTAAATTGATCTTCATTCAAAAGCTTTTACTGGAAGCGTTCGCATTCACGGTTGACGAAGCCCACATGCGTAAGGAAATCATCATCTTCGTTCCTAGTTAGCTTCAATGAGTGTTAAACAGTGAAGAGTTATCGCCAAAATGTTGGCTAAATGTTTGAACTGTGTCTGCAAAAGATCGGACACGTGGGTTCAAAAGCATGATCAGATTGCAATATTTATCCAGCTCAGTTGCACTCAATTTACGAAGCAGCAGCCGCACTTTCCAAACATCATCTTGATTGGTGAAATCAAATTTAAATAGATCTTTGTAACGCCTGAACCACATCTCAAACTTAACAGGAGCATCAGGTCGTAATGGAATTCAGCTATACTATTTGCATTGCCATCTACCGATGGTGCCGTGGTTGAACTAGACGTGCTTGGCTGTAAGGGAGACGTAACTTTGGTCTCCGTCAACATTTGCATCAATTTTAGCTGCTGCTCAAGTAACAGTTCAAGTTTGGAAGGGTCCATAATTGAAAGACCACCGTCGCCAATTGTTAGGTTTGAAGCTTAACGAGTTCACTCAGATTTGCGAACGAGAACGAAATTCGATGACCAATGACCAGTAACCTAACTATTGACGCTTCCTAGCCCCGCTATCTAGAGAGAGAACACCAAGCTTGGAATGAAGTATATTCTGCAACAACCAGAAACGAGCAACCTTTTTTAACAAAACTATTCTAAAACGTATATATATACAAATATATATATATATATATATATATATATATATATATATATATATACATATGTCGATAGGTTCGTCGATTGACTTCCATTGAAATATTTGAACATTTAATCGATAAATGCGTCAATCAATTATGTGCGTGGGTGGTAAGAAATGCCCACGTACACATCTGCATACAAGCTTCACAAGATAAAACTACAAACTATGATTTTTTTTTACGTCTTGGTATTAGAAATATGATGAAACAATAATGTGTTACAAATAGTATGTCGAATTGATAAATCTTAAAATCAACATTTACGGAAAAAACAATGTTTGCTTTGATAAATTATGTAATCATGATGAAAATATCTCCAATATTATTGTCTTGACCAGATATATTGAATGAGGTCCTACTAATTGCCTTCTCTCACAACGGTTTTTGTATACAAAATCGAAGGTACAGAAGGCGAATATCGGGCGAATCAACCATGTCTGTGGACATAAAAGACCTACCTGGGGAAGTTTGAAAACCATAATTCCAAGTCAGTGGTGCAAATGGGATTCAGGATACTGAGAGAAAAATAGAGTCTGGACAAATTGCTGGTCATCGGCTAACACGAAACAGCATTTTATGACGCTGCTCAACTGCATTGTGGATCTGACTCGTAGGTGCCATATCTATGTTTTGAAATAAATAACGGTTCTTTGTCAGTTGGAATTTTTACTACAAGACATCACTGATTCAACATGTTTGTAAAGAACCCACTCACTATTCAATATGTCTGTCTATCCAAATACATTACCCAACGAATCATGCAAATCAAATTCGTCACATAAATCATAATTATTGGTGGTCTATAGAAACGAACAAATAAACATATGAAATCCAAACAACAATCGATTTCAATAAATTTCTAAATTTACTGACGATTCAATACAAGTGCCCTATTTTAAACTCAAGTAAGATCATATTTGTAATAATAATGATATATATCATGCACAATTGAAGAGTACGTTAATTGATCTACTATCATCAGTGAATGAATATTACTTTGAAAGAACCATTGTAGCTTTCAGGCAGTTAGTCATGTATAAAGTCATACCTATGTGCATAACATTTTAAAATGCCATTTTCGAAGTTGTTAGATGACGTGTGACCTCCAGTATGTACATTTATTATTCTTAGTCCGAATAAAGGTTATTAAATCAATGTGATGCATTAGACTAAATATTAACAGTTAATAATTAGGATTAAAGCCTTCATTTAGGGTTTTCCATCAGGAACTATTATCAGTTAAATTGTCGAAACACTGTTTAGACAAATGGATGAATAAATTTCAAAGAATTGTTCTTCTAAATTTGATTCATTTTTTTCATTACAGATAGTCTCTACAATTCCGCATAATCACTTATATATAGATGTGATTCTATGTATAAGACGGTAATTTTTATTGAATCGAAATCAGTCGTTTATAAGATTTTAGGCAGGATGTTTACATAGTAATGTTCCTTCGTTTCCACCCTAATCCTTTTTATTATCCTCTTCTCTTCTCTTTGAACTTGTTAGCCTTCTGTCGCCAGGCATTTCACTTTCGAATGATAATGCGTACTAGTTATGTCCGTCAGCATCGACAATATACAGCGCACTCATCTCCATACATTTAAGCGATTTAGTTGTATCCGCCTGTGTTCGCTTTCAATACAGTATATTTAGTCATTGATCACATTTATTGTGAAAGTTTTATATCATGCCTTATTGTTTATTCTAGGAAACAGCTTTGGACATGATGTTTGCCATGGTTGAATGTCTAGAATTGAAGAACATTGAAAGAGTCAATAAGATGAATATGAAGGAACATGTGGATCGTTTACTGGTTGTATCAACATATACCAAAACAGTAGATTACGCTTTATCAATAATGAAACCATTCACAATGATAGGTGCTTATACTTGTTGCAATACAAATATCATTATCATTTGTGATCATAATGCTCTTATCATTACTGTAAATTACATTATCAGTAATAATAATTGTATTTATATAGTAACAAAAATGTTCAAAACAACTGGCAATTGATATCGTCCATTATTGCTGGTTTGTTCCTGTATGTTAAGTCATTTTGTTTCACAAATTATTAATGATCCATTTAATAATTTTACAGATTATTCATAATCTAAGCTTGAACAATGTGTTCGAATTATTATAAGATAGTGATTGAATATTTCAATCGGGTAGCAGCGTTAAATACTAAGTTACTTAATTAAGCTTGTTTATCCTCATTGAGGATAAAAGGCAATCAACCACCACTTTCCATCCAATTATGTCATCAGCAATCCGATCGACTTCTTTCTAGATGTTATTCATTCATTTTATGTGAGATAATAGTAATGTGCAGATTTAATTGAAGATCAATTTTGTAATTTTTGTATTAATTCAGATTACAAATCCGTAGATTTTGAGTATCCTTATTGGGATAGGCCTCACAAATTCACCTTGAATAAAACGAAATTGACTGTGACATAATCGGACCCATTATGATTTTATTTGTATTAAATCGAATTCTGAATTGTTACTTCCTTTTTATTACAACTTGTGTTAGTTCTAATTCAATTATTTATTTGCTCTGAAAAAGTGGCTTAAAAGAAATCATGAAATATGAGATGTACAATTTTTTACTCATTGCCATATAACAAAACAAGAATGCTTCCAAAAATAATATAAAGAAGTCACCATGCACATCAATATTTCGTAGTTCAGTAAATAAAAATTTTGTTATGTAGACTACACAATTAACTTTAACGGAATACATCGACCGTTGTGTTCTTGTATGTGAGAATAAAACAATCAACAATCGTTCACAGATTGTTCTTTATCAGCATGTTGTGAATTGCTTACTTATATATGTTCACTATTTAATTTGCCAATACTAACATATTTACAGTCAAGTTGTATCTTTTCATTTCCGTTGCTATTAAACTAGTCCTCGCGGTCTCACACATTGTTCGGACACTTCACGTACCTAGACAGATTGCAACTCTGTTTGTTAGAAGTAGCATCGGCCTCGTAACTTTCGAAGGATATCAGGTTTTGTCATGATATCTCTTTCATATCTTCTTGAATTTGGAGTGCATAGTTTAAATAATTCAAATTGTATATTCTGGTTGGCGCTTTTTTAGCAAGGTTGGTTTTTGCAGGATAGAGTTGTCAACACTGCAAACAAACCATTCCCCTTTACACGTACTTAAGGCTGTCAGTAAACCTAGCAGACCTACAGTCGGAGTTAAATATAATATTCTCATCCGTTATGTCTGTTTTCTGTTGTAGCTTGGTCGCATTTGTGATTTTGTTATTGGTTACTTTCGTGAAGAAGATAAATGAGAGTTATCCACTGAATGTCGCGCTTGCAGTTGTTTTCGTAAGAATTTATGATATTCTTTACACATTTACTATATTAGTCCGTTTATTGTAATAAAAATATGTAAAGAAGAGTAAGATAATAAGCCGATATGACTGACGAGATTTGGTAAAACGAAATTCTGACTGATCTACAAGCCGATTTAGATCTTCCATCTGTTGAGATAGATACGCCAGACGTTTCGTTCATAGTCACAGCATCTTTGTAAGTTACAGACACCAGTTTTCACAGAAATCAATCAGCAGGAAAGTGTTAACACATTTAGAAAGATATATTTAATAAACGATTGTTGTGGCGGTTGAGTTTCACGTATGGACGTCAATCTACTTTAGACGAATATCTACACTAGATTCCTTCTCAGTGTCTATTCCACAGATTTCGAACACAACTCAGATCAAGAATACTTGATTAGTCTGACTACAACGTAAATATATTTCCACACAATAATAACAAGTGAGCAATAATAATAAGGTTAAGGGAATACTTAACTCGTCTGACACCTGATAGACTATCTACAAGTCTGACTAAGCAGACGGTCAATGATTATCATTCACGCCCACACATTAACAAAAACGTGCATACGAGGATAGATTGGCGTTTTACGTGGGAGGAATAAATCTAGGTAATCACTTTCACTTGCATGACCAAAAGCAAAGTTGTTCAAAGTGAAAAATGAGAACACCTGTTTCCGACTAATGATGAAGTGTTGGTTGTCTCCAATTCTATTGGTTTTTTCCATGCATAAGATAGAAGAGAAACGATACAGATCGGTAATCAATCAGAGGTGCTGCATCACCCTTCTGTGGATGTCAGTGTAGAAACAGAACTGTGTCATTCTCTCTGACTTCTCAATGTGAGTGTGATTAGAATGTGTACTGGATGTCTAATGAATTCGATGTACTGAAACTGAACGAGTTATTGAAATAGTACGATCTCAGTTACTGAAGGCATATACCTTCGTTGAATTATTTACTATACAACAAATGAAGCCTGTTTGATGTATAAAAGCACTGTGTCTCATCGTCGACTAGCTACTATTTTTGTCATTCAGTTTTTACTACAGTGATTTCGAATTTGATATAATCTGATTCAATTTTTGACGGTTTATCACTTCTCCATGATTTTATTCATTATTTCTTCTGATATTAAGTGATTACACTAAGTGTCGAGACGCCTTCCAAGAACTATGATGAGCGTCTAGAGGACTTAAAGGAGCTTAAGAGAATTCAGCATTCTTCTCTCTCCTAGCTTTATGACTAAGGGGGTCTATAAGTTCGAGTACTGTAGTTGTATTATAGAATTCTGCGTTAATCATGTAGGAGACATAACACACCTTTAACTAATCAAACAACAATTCCCACCATTCATATGATAATCCAGTGGTAAGTGTTCGTTCTACTAGCCATTTTATTTACTAACATCCAGTACAAGTATAATAACATTTTATAGTTATCATTTATACTACAACATCTAGAATTATAATCTTCTTATCAAATCGTCATGCCTAACACATCATTTACACTTTTTCACAGAATTAACACTTACGATTATGCAAATATGTATCTAGCCTTATTGATCAATCAGTAGCAAAACCAAGAAATATGTTCATTGAAGTTCATATTCTCAATGTCTAAATGAGAGTGGTGTTTGTGGAGATTAATAAATTTTCGAATAAAACCAAGAATCCATTGATCTTAAATCAAGGTTGAAAACCTGAAAGCACTGCACGGACGATTCTTTTTATTGCAGGATTCCTCAGCAGCGCACCTCGGCAAAACTTCGTATATTTAGACTTTGACAACGTTAAATGCCAGCTTAGCGTTTCAGAAATTTAGGGTTCTTAGGCGAGAAAGAAGGTCCTGGGTTTGATCTCAGTGAGAGCGCCCGTGTATACATACTATTGAGTAGTACCGTAATGAGACGAAACGACATCCCAGTATGTTACGGGAGAACTGAAAACATTTGGCTGACTACAACAACACGTTAAATATTATTCATTTCACTGTTTTTGTGTGTATTTGTTTCTTTCAACTTATGAACTTGTTTGTCTACATTATTTTCGGACGTTTTGATTTCTCTATGTCTTTGGTTTGTTATGTAGGAGTTTGGCTATGATAACCTACAAAATTGAAGGTTTTTTGTAATTAATACTATTTTTCGTTGTTAGAACGACATTTGAGTCGACTATTAGTAAATTGCGAATAATCATTGTTAACAAAATTGAACTTTTGTTCTATTGTAGGTATCATTATCAAGGTTTGATTTGATAGTAGTATATCACTTTTTAAACATGGATTAATTTTAATTTGTTATTTATTCTCTGAAGAAGTGACTTACACTAAACCACGATACGTCAGAAAATCTAATTATCTACTAATTGGGATATTACAAATTTATTATTTGTTTGGTTCTATTGTTAATTAGGGTTCGTGAATTGCAAATAGATCGGTGTACCTTACTTCAATATCAGGAACAAGCAAAAACGTGGACGTAACACACTCCTTTCTAGTCTTAAATGATGGTTTAAGATCAGTTACCAGTTTAAAGCAAACTAATCGGGATTTACGCTAATTCCTGTCTACCTAATGTATTGAGAGAATTAAAAGCGAATATTCGCTACCTTAGCATGTTTGTTGGATATGAAGGATTCACCTAGGAGAGTTACCATTTCCTATCTCGATAAAAAAATTCACACCAGAAAAAATTATCAGCATACATATACAATAACAGCACATATGAATGAATATGTATTCTATTAAAACTACAATATTCTTTCTCATTTTCAGTCTGTTTGCATGGCGACAGCATTAGGAGTTTTGGATACACACTTAGATGCTTTTCACAGACTGACAATCTTTGGAATCAGTTTGGTGTTGTTCACTTGTGCACTATTGATTGGGGCAGCGATTAAAACAGAATTGGCAGATCGTTTAATCAGTATTCTAATGCCCATTTTAGTCATATCTCTTCTCATTTTGACAGTCGCGGTTGTGCTCAATTTCTGGAATGAATACAAGGTATTGTAGTGAATTGAAGTATTTGATTTCTACATGACGTAATTCTGATTGAATTTAATTTGCTTTCGCAAAAAATTAGAAATGTTCAGCATTCACTGTCCACTGTAATCTAGTTAGTACGTAATTAACATCTGTAAACATTTTAAGCCTGAGATGAATTGATCAAAAGTCCAAAGCATCATGTTAGCTGAACTCGCACAGTCAGATGATATGCAGGGTATTGGGTTGTTATGATTGATATCATGTAGTGCTGTAGTCTTGTGTTTGAGATGGGAGACTCGTCAACTGGGTTGGGAAGTTGAACAGATTATTAAAAAAAGAAGAAATTATGTTGTCAAACAAAGAAGCAATAAACATTGGTCTCGTATAAGTGTGTATAGTTGTTCAGAAAGAGAATAAAGGTCGAATCTTAAATCATTCTGTCCGTTGGAGTGTAAGTTGTAGTCGTTCATAGCTGGATATCC